ACTTCTGGCTTTTTTCTTTTTGCTTATGTGGTGCTGAGGAATCGAACCCAGGGCCTCAGGCATGCAAGGCAAGCGCTCTACCACTGAGCCACCTTCCCAGGCCCTCACTTGGTTTTCTTGCTCACACAGCTAGTGTTCTACCACTGAACCATATCTCTAGTCTGGCATCTTGCCTGGTTAATTGGAGACAGAGTTTCATAGACTTTCTACCTGGTCTGACTTCAAACCATGATCCTCCAGGTCTCAGCCTCCTAAATAGCTAGGATTATAAGAGTAAACCACCAGCATCAGCTCAATGTAATTTTTATTTGCATTTAATTTATGAGAGTTTGATGGACATTTCTTTGTATATTTGTTAGCCATTTGAACTTTGGCTGAGAACTATTCATTTGCCTATTTGTTGACAGAATTGTTTTTAGTTCATTTTTTTGAGTTCTTTATATGTTCTGTATACTAATCCCTTGTCAGATTTTTATTTTTTGAAGGTTCTAGCAAAGATTTATTTCAGTAATAACAGGATTAATATAGTGAGAAATAGAAAAAGAGAAACATTTCTTTCTTTTTGTGTAGGAAATGGGAATTAAGGACTCCTTAGATTTTTAACTTGATGCAATCTCATATGTCAATTCTTGCTCTTATTTCCTGAGCTATTGGAATCCTATTCATAAGGTCCTTATCTAGGCCTATATCTTCATGTGTTTTTCTTGTTTTCTATGTAGTAGTTTCAAAGTTTCAGGTATTACCTTAAGTCTAATCATCTACTTTGAATTTATTTTTGTGCAGAGTGAGAAATACATGTCTAATTTTAGTCATTTTCACACAGATATTTAGTTTTCCTGGCACCATTTGTTGAAGAGGCTGTCTTAAAATGTGTTTTGGGTACCTTTGGTAAATATCAGACAACTGTAGTTGTGTGGGCTTATTTGTGAGTCTTCTAATTCCATTCATTTCAGTGTATCTTTTTGTTCGAGTAACATGCTTGGGGTTTTTGTTATTATAGCTTTGTGACATAATTTGAGATCAGGTGTTGTTAAACCTCCAGAATTATTATTTTTATTCAGGGTCTTTTTTGGGGGTCTGGCTATTTAGGGGCTTTTATGCTTTCATGTGATTTTAAGATTGGTTTTTCTACTTCTGTGAAGAATAACTCAAATTTTGGTAGGAATTACATTGAGTATATAGATTGCTTTTGGGAGCATAACTTTTCCCAGTATTCTGCCAATCCATGAATGGGGAAAGCTGTTCATCTTCTAGTATCTTCATCATTTTCTTTTTGTTTTTTTCTCTCAATACCAGGATTTGAAATCAAGGCCTCACACTTGCTTGGCTTGTTTACTTGACTGATTCTCTGCCAGCTGCCCATGATTTCATCTTGCTATTTTTCTGTCATTTTGGAGATGGAGTCTCATAAACTTTTCTACCCAGGCTGGCTTTGAACTGTGATCTTCTGGTTCTCACCCTCCTGAATAGATAGAATTACAGGCATGAGCCACTGGCATCCTTCATCATCTTCATTTTCTTTCTTAATTGTTTTCATAGTATTCATTCTAGAGGTCTTTTACCTCTAAATCTTGTTGGTATTTAGTTTACTTGTTGGTATTTACTTTTGAATTTTCATTATTTTGTGAATGGGATTAGGTTTCTCTCCGTGTATTTGGTCTTGATTTATAGAACACTACTTATTTTTAAGAGGATTTTGATGGATTCTTTAGGGTCTTTTAAGTATATAATGATGTCATCTTCAAATAGGAAAACGTTGATTTCTTCCTTTCTTGTGTGTATCCTTATTATTTTTTTCACTTGCATTATTGATCTGGCTAATAATTCAAACATATTGAATGAGAATAGAAAGAATGGACAACTTTGTCTTGTTCCTCACTTCAGAGAAAATTCTTTTTTTTTTCCAGTTAGTATGCTGTTGGCTATAGGTTTGTCATACATAATCATTATTATGTTGACATGCATTTCTTTCTATTCCTAGCTTGTTCAGGGCTTTGATCTTGAAGGGATGTTGACTTTTTCCCCAAAGACTTTCTACATCTTTTAAGATTATCATGGGATTTTTTTGTCCTTTATTCTGCTTATATGTTGTATATTTACTGACTTGCATATGTTGAACCGTTCTTGCATTCCTGGAATGAAACCAGCTTGATCATGATGTGCGATCTTTTTAATGTATTGTAGTATGTTTGCAAGTATTTGATTTGAGAATTCTGTGTTAATCAAGGAAAGTGGTCTTTTTTGTTACACACTTACCAGGGTTTAATGTCAGGGTAATACTGACTTCTTCCCTTCTTTCTGGGGTAACTACAGAAGCATTGATGTTAGTTGTTCTTTTAAGATCTGGTAGAATTTAGCAGTGAATTCATCCGATCTTTGGCTTTTCATATATAATGAAGTCTCACTGTTATTATGGATCTGTTAGTGATATCCATTTGTTTCAATTGTGGTAGGTCATATGTGTCTGGAAATTTACTTCTTCTAGATTTTCCAGGATATTGGAATGTACAAACATTTCCTAATGATCCTTTTCATTTCCTGAGTGTTTGTAATATCCACTCTGTCATCTGTTGTAATTTTGTTAATTTGAGTCTCTTCATTTGTTTTGGTTTGATTGGTCAATCTTGGTTATGCTTTTGAAGCTCTAACTCTTTGCTTCATTTATTCTGTGTATCATTCTTTAGGTCTCCATTTCATTCATTTCTGCCATGATCTCTGAATTCTAGACTGCAGGGATGTAACTGAAGTAGTCAGTCCCTCTTCTTAAGTTTTCAGATCCTGCCTGGCAGTTAGCTACCTTGTAGAAGGAAGGAGGCTGGGAAAATTGAGCTCTCCCTTGGTCCTCCTGCCTGAGTTTCCTACACCTTCTCTGCAGGTCTCCATCAAAACCTCCTATCTCCATGATCTGTCCAGTGGCTGTCTCTCATTGAGACACTGTAGCATAATATCCCAAGTCTCCAGGAGTCACAGTAGTTCTTTTTTTACAGGTCTCCAGACAATAGACCTGGTCAAGAAGGCATTGACGTAGGACTCTGAGATGAAGAGCAACAGCATATGCTTCTTCTTCAATGCAAACCTGCCTTTCAGTAGTCTGTAATGACAAATAATGACACTGAGGTTAAGGCTTTGCCATAATTTGGGGCTTACTCTGCAGCTAAGTCTGTCAGTCTGTCACCAGGGCCACCTGGCTTACCCTCCCTGCCAGCTCCAACCAGGGTTGTTTTCTACATTTCACTGTTACCCTTCTGTGTGTGTGTGTGTGTGTGTGTGTGTATATATATATATATATATATATACAGGGCCTCACACTTGCTTGACTTGCTGGCTTAATTGGTGCTCTTATCACTTGAGCCACACCTCCAGTCCAGCTTTTTGCTGGTTATTTTGGAGATGGAGTCTCACAGGCTTTTTTTTGTCAAAGCTGGTTACAATCTTTGATCCTTCAGATGTCAGCCTCCTGAAGAA